TGTCCTGGCTGCCCCACTTCCAATCAGTTCCCTGCATATGGCCTGAGAACGCAGGGGGAGATGGCCCAAGTGCCTGGGCCCCTGCACCCACATGGGAGACCTGGGTGAAGCTCCTGGCTCCAGGCTTCAGCCTGATCTGGTCCAGGCTGCTGGGGCCATCTAGGAGTGAACCAGTAGGGGGCAGATCTCTCTCTCTCCCTCTCTCTCCCCCTCTCTCTCCCTCTCTTTCACCCTCTTTCTCTCCCTCTCCCTCTCCCTCTCCCTCTCCCTCTCCCTCTCCCTCTCCCTCTCCCTCTCTCTCTCCCCATCTCTCCCTCTCTCTCACAACAAAACCACTGTACTGTGCACAATCAGCAGCATCACAGGTCTTAGAGGGAAACGGTTCAGCAGCACAACACTGAAATCCCCATCAGTGCCACAGGAAACACACGCACTGCCCAAGGAACCTCACACATGGCAGCTACAGTCATCACAGGGCTTGCCTGGCAGGGGTCCACTCCTGAGCTCCCTCTCTGGACTGACGATAGTCTCAGCGCCCCCCCACCCCGCCCCGGCTGCCATCCAGACCTTTGCTTTCTGAGCCTCTACTTAGGGAAGTGTCCAATGTGGCAGGCGGCTTCCCCAGACCAAGAAGAGTGAGGAAGGTCACCCAAGTGGAAGCCACGGTCAACTACAGGGTGTCGTCCATTCCCACTGGACATTCCCCAAGGAAGGAGGGGCCCAAAAGTTGAGATCACATAATCTCATTCGTTTCTGGAAGCTGAAAAATGGACCTCCCAGAAGAAGGGCATGGGAGAGAGGTCACAGGAGCAAGGGACGGGGGAGCAAGGGCACAGAGCATAGAATTACACAGGGAGACAGGGTGGGGGGCAGTCAGGTATGGTCATCCTCGTACGGGGGGCTAACTGTCTACACCACCGGCTTAAATGGATCTCAGACTCACTACTGCAAGTGAGTTCATAGGGTCCCAGCACATGTCTGAGGGGCTGAAAGTGCTCTTGACCCTGATCTGATCCTGACATGGTTGGTGCATGTTCATGTGTTGAAATATCACACTAGGCCCTAAACAGACACAAAGGTTAGATGTCACCAAGACACAAACACCACATGGTGATGACAATGAAGAACAGGAGCAACCCCCCGCCCCCATCCTCAACTCGGGGAGCTGTGGGCAGCACTCTCCCTGGGCGAGGAGGGCGGGGCTCACTGGGGGAGAGGTTGGAACAATGCCCACCTCCCCGTTATTTTGAAAAGGTTAGGAAACCGGCTCTTTGCTATTTTTTCTATTATATGGACATGATGATTTTTTTAAAAGATTTATTTATTTATTTGAAAGGGAGAGAAAAATGGAGAATGTGAGAGATCTTCCATCTGCTTTTTCACTCCCCACATGGCTGCAATGGCCAGACTGAAGCCAGGAGTCTGGAACTCCATCCAGGTCCCCCATACAGGTAACAGGGACCCAAGCACTTGGTCCATAACCTGCTGTCTCTCCCAGGTGCATTAGCAGGGAGCTGGATCAGAAGTAGAGTATCCGGGTCTTGACCTAGCATTCGCATGGGATGCCTACATCACAAGTGGTGGCTTAACCCTCTGTGCCACAATGCTGACAACTGATCGAAATTATACATGCTTTAAATAATTGCCACATCTATACCAAAATAATTTATGCCAGAGGTAGAGATTTTGTCACACATTTTAACCTTCAGAGTCCATTCCTGGGTTTTTAAAAATAGATAATTTAGGTTGGCACCACGGCTCACTAGGCTCATCCTCCACCTGCAGTGCCGGCACTCCGGGTTCTAGTCCCGGCTGGGGCGCCGGTTCTGTCCCAGTTGCTCCTCTCCCAGGCCAGCTCTCTGCTGTGGCCTGGGAAGGCAGTGGAGGATGGCCCAAGTGCTTGGGCCCTGCACCAGCATGGGAGACCTGGAGGAAGTACCTGGCTCTTGACTTCAAATCAAAGCAGCGCACCTGCCGCAGCGCTGACTATAGTGGCCATTTGGGGGGTGAACCAACGGAAGGAAGACCTTTCTGTCTGTCTGTCTCTCTCTCTCACTGTCTAACTCTGCCTGTCAAAAAAAAAAAAAAGATAATTTAGGGGTTACCATTGTGGCATAGCAAGGAAAGCCACCAACTGGGATGCAACATCCCATATGAGTGCCCATTTGTGTCCCGGCTGCTCTACTTCCAATCCAGCTCCCTGCTAATGGCCTGGAAAAGCATCATAAGATGACCAACGTCCTTGTACCCCTGCATCCACATGGGAGACCTGGAAGAAGCTCGTAGCTCTTGGCTTTGGATTGGCCCAGGTCCAGACATTGTAGCCATTTTGGAGTGAACCAGTGGATGCAAGACTTTCTCTTTCTCTGTCTCTCTCTGTCTCTCTGTAACTGTGACTTTTAAATAAAAAAATCTTAAAAAAGGCCAGCGCCCGTGGCTCAATAGGCTAATCCTCCGCCTGCGGCGCCAGCACACCGAGTTCTAGTCCCGGTCTGGGTGCCGGATTCTGTCCCGGTTGCCCCTCTTCCAGGCCAGCTCTCTGCTGTGGCCAGGGAGTGCAGTGGAGGATGGCCCAAGTGCTTGGGCCCTGCACCCGCATGGGATACCAGGAGAAGCACCTGGCTCCTGGCTTCAGATCAGAGTGGTGCGCCGGCTGCAGTGCACCAGCCGCGGCAGCCATTGGAGGGTGAACCAACGGTAGAAGAAGACCTTTCTCTCTCTCTCTCTCTCTCTCTCTCTCTCACTGTCCACTCTGCCTGTCAAAAAAATCTTAAAAAAAGATATGTAAAATTTTAAAAATTATTTATTTTAATTATTTGAAAGAGAGAGAGAGATCGCCCCCTGCTGGTCCACTTGCCAAATGCTCACAACAGCCAGGGGCTGCGAAGTCAATCCTGGTCTCCATTGTGGGTGGCAGGAACCCAACTATTTGGCTCACAATCTACTGCATCTCAGTGTGCACAGCCGCCGGAAGCTGGAATCTGAAACAGAGCTGAGACTTTAACCCGGGTACTCTGGTATGGTATATGGATGTCTCACGTGGCATCTTAACCACTGCTCCAATCATCCATCATTCCTTGCAATTTTAATTTGGATTTTTCTAATGACATTAAGCAACTTTTTCCTGTTTTTCCTGTTTTCCTGGGTCATTTAGATATTTCCATTTGAGAAGTGATTTTCCACATTTGTTTTTTCATTGTTCAGTAGAAGGTCTGTATTTTTCGAGAGTTCTTTACGTATTCTGGGTTATCGATCCTTTTTTTTTTTTTTTTTTTTGAAAGATTTATCCTTATTTATTTGAAAGATAGAGTTACAGACAGAGATAGAGCCAGGGAGAGTAAAAGGTCTTCTATCTGCTGGATCACTCCCCAAATGACCACAATGGCCAGAGTTGAGCTGATCTGAAGGCAGGAGCCAGGAGCTTCTTTGGGTCTTCCACGTGGCTGCAAGGGTCCATGGACTTACGCTATTTTCTACTGCTTTCCCAGGCCACAGCAGAGAGCTGGATTGGAAGTGGAGCAGCCAGGACTCAAACCAGCGCCCATTGGGATGCCAGCACTGCAGGCTGTGCCACTCCACCAGCCCCAAGGTTACTAATCCTTTACTAGTTACATGTGTCTAAATATTTTTCCAAACTGGCTGTTTGTCATGTCAGTCTCTTTATAGTGTCTCTTAATAAGCAAGATGTTTTAATTTGATTGCAGATTATTTTATTAATCTTTTATTTGTATTTAGTGTCTTTGTCCTGATTAAGAAATACTTCTGGGGTGGGCATGGTAGCTGGAGCAGAAGCAGAGCAGCCAGGACTTGAACCTGTGCTCTGCTACAGGACACTGGCACAAGCCATGGCTTCACTGAGACACAACACTGGCCCCACATGCGTGAGGCTTCATCACAAGGCGTAATCCTCCCATCAGCATCTCTTTTAAAGAGGGAGAAATGCAGGCAGGGCTCCAGCAAGGTTCAGTAGCTTGCCTCAGGTTACTCAGGCCTGAGACGTGGAGCCAGGTGGTCCTACCCCAGTGCCCGTGTGTTCTGAGTCGCCAGGAAGGCTGGGAGAAGACTGCTGGGCCTGCAGGGCTTCTGGGTGCTGGGGGCTGTGCAGAGGAAGGCTCCTCTGGTGGGCCCCTTGATTCTGCTGAGACTTGAGAAGTTCAGCTCCAAGAGGGCAGGGGTTGTGGCTTAGCTGCTGACTAGAGGGCCAGCACACACAAAACACTGATAGAGGCCATGGGTGGATGGACGAGTGGACCGACAGGGTGATGGATGGGTGGATGAGTGGATGGATGGGTGGGTGAGTGGATGGATGGGTGGATGAGTGGGTGGAAAATGAAGAGAGGGAGGGATGATGAGTGGGCTGACAAGAGTGATGGATGGGTAGTTTGGATGGATAGATGGATGGATGGGTGGGTGGGAGGACCAACAGAGAGGGAGGGATGATGAGTGGACTGACAGAGTGATGGATGAGTGGGTTGGATGGAGGGAGGGAGGGAGAGAAGAGGGAAATCCTCCTGCAGCCTGGTGCCCATGTGCCGTAGTGCCTCATGCTTACTTAGACACCTGTCTTTCCTGCACTCCGCCATGGAGGCTCCCACTGCCACGTCTCCCAGGTGGCCCAGCTGTTGTCCCTGCAGGCCCCTTGCAGCCTCCCCAAGCTTAGCCCCAGGCTCACATGCACCTGCCCCAGATGCAACGTGAACGCCTTTTCCCACCGGGAGATGTTGTGATGCTGAGTGGGGTGAAGGTTCGGGTGGGACATTAGGTGGAAATTTGCAGAGTGGGAGTAAGGACACTCAGGCAGAACAAGAGCTTGGGCGACGTCATGGAGGACCCAGGGCTGGCAGAGGACCAGTGCATAGTCCCAGTGACAGAGGCAAAAGGCATGGAGGTGGTGGAGACCCCGTTCTGCCCCTGGGTTCTCGGCTGGGCCCCTCCGAGTCCCTACGCCTGACCCGGCACAGCCCAGCACAGCCTCGAGCAGGCCGTCACCAGGTGGCCTCTCTGTCCAGGCACGAAGGCTCCACCAGGTTCTTCAACTTTTCCACTTCCGCTGAGAAGAGCAGCAAAGAGGCCGAGCACCGCTATCGGGTGAGCGCCCGGGGAGCCCCCACGTCCACGCATCCACGGGGCAGACAGAGCAGGAAGTTGGTGGGGGAAGATGGAGAGGAGCTGAGGGCCCCGCTAGCGAAGAGGTGGGAGTGGGCCGCGCCAGGGACCACCGTCACGTCCTGCCTCGGTTTCCCGCAGGTGAACAACCTGAGTCTGCGAGATGTGGCCGTCAGCGTGGACTTCTGGGCCCCCGTGCAGCTGAACGGAGCGGCTGTGTGGGACGTGGCGGTGGAGGCCCCAGGCCAGGTGCCCACCACGCCTCGCTGGCCAGGGCCCGGTCCCACAGCCCGCACACCCTGGCAGGGGCACCGTCCACGCTTGGGTGGCTGAGGATTCACGTCTCTCTCCAGAGCCTGCCCTGTGCGCGGGAGAGGGAACCTCCGAGGACCTCTGACCTGAGCCGGGTCCCGGGGAGTCCCGTGCTGGTGAGAAAGGCCCTGAGCCCCCAGTCAGTGCGGGCGTGGCCGCGCTGAGGGGCAGAGGTGCAGCGCTGGGCTGAGGGCAGGACCGCGTCCTGGGCTTGCTCAGCGCTGCCCCGCCCACACAGCCTCGGTTCTCTGCCTCGGCCCCTCCCTAAGTGAAGCCCCCGCAGCCTCGCGCTCCTCTGGTCCCTAGGACTGCGGCGTTGCGCACTGCCTGAGGTTCCGCTGCCACATCCCCTCCTTCGGCGCCAAGGAGGAGCTCCACTTCACCCTGAAGGGCAACCTCAGCTTCGCCTGGTCAGCCAGGTTCGGAGGCCCCAGCGGCAGCGCCCGTCCCCCACCCGCGGGCGGCACCTGCTGTGGCTGCGCCATGCTCCAGCCTGGACAGTTCTGGAACTCGGAGCACCCCCAGAGCCAACCGCCCGGCTCCTCTCGCCCTTGCAGATGCCGCAAAAGAAGGTGTCGGTGGTGAGCGTGGCCGAGATCACCTTCAACAGGGCCGTGTACTCCCAAGTTCCGGGTGAGGAGCCCTTCATGAGAGCCCAGGTAGGGTCTGCGAGGGAGGCTGGGCCAGGTCCCCAGGGCTCCTGGTGCTGCATAGCTAATGCTGGGTGGGGGTTGCCAGGGTGCAGGGAGGAGGAGGAGGGGTGAAGGTCTCTGGGCAGGACGGTTGTCCCTGAGCTCAGGGGTCTCTGCCTGGCAGCCCTTGGAGCAGGGGCAGGAGAGAGAGGAGGCAGGAGCTGGGAGGTGGGGACAGAAGGCCTGATGCCCCTGCAGGTGGAGACGGTGCTGGAGGAGTATGAGGAGCACGACCCCGTCCCCCGGTGGTGGGCAGCTGCGTGGGCGGCCTGCTGCTGCTGGCTCTCATCTCAGCCAGGCTGTACAAGGTGAGCGCGTGGCCCTCTCTCCACACCACCTGCATCCACCAGCCTTCTCCAGACAGGCGGCAGAGGGATTGCTCAGAGCACCGGCCCGCAGCCTGGCTCATTGTTGGCTCTGTTCCCGATGGCTGTTTAAGGTCAGAGGAGTCGCTTGACCTGCAGTGTCAGTGTGTCCCTTCTAAATGCTCACAGCATCCACAGTGCAGAGCGGCTGAAGTGAGACAGCCATGCGCCCGGCGCCTGCTTTCCCCCAGACACAGCGTCGCAGCCGCGGGGCACATTCGTGGTCTGGCCCAGAATCTCAATCCCGCGCAGCCCCCCTCCCTTCTCCCCACTCAGCTCCTTCCTGCCCCCACCTTTGCCCCTGCCCTCTCACCCTGATTCTGCGGTTTCTTTCCCCTCCAAGCTTGGCTTCTTCAAGCGCCGGTACAAGGAGATGCTGGGCGAGAAGCCGCGAGACGCGGCCACCTTCCCCGGGGAGGATGCCAGCTGCGGGGCTTCAGATTTGCCTTTGTCCCAGTGATCCCCTCTCCTGCCCGTCTCCTCCCGGGGCTGGTCCTGCCTCCCACTGGAAAGCTGTCTCCGTGGGTGCAACCTCTGCAAGGGTCGACTGGTCTGAGCATCCCCTGGGTGCTGAGCCCCATCCCAACGGTGGAAAGGTTCTTCTACTTCTGCACCTCTGCCAGGCTGCTCCAGTGACAGCACTGCTGACGCAGGAGGCAGGGTGTGCACGTGTAGAAGAATGGCCACATGGAATGAGGATGTCGGTGATGCATTTGCCTTGTATGGAAAATGCCCTAATGCAGGCATTGGCATGCTACCAGAGGTAGAGTTGAGAGAACCTACTTATGTGTACAGAAAAAGTTCTCTCACTTTTCTCTGGTGCCTGGGCCGGAGGTCGTCTTTGCCTGATGTTCCATGAGGAATACAAGGGGTGTGGGACAAGGATGTGTCTGTGCACATGTGTGTGAGTATGTGTGTGTGCTAGTGTCATCTGTGAATGTACATGTGTGTGCATGAACATGTGCACCTGCATATGTATGTGCTAATGAACACGTGTGAGTATACATGCGTGTGCATGCATGCCTATACACCTGTGTGTACCTGTGTATGTGTGTGCTAGTGTACATGTGTGTGCTCATGTGTGTACTGGCACATGTGTGCACCTGTGTGACTGTGTGTGTGAGTGTGCATGTATGTGCGTGTGTGTCCTGGGTCTCAGTAGCGGCTTCTGTCCGGTCAGTGGGCAGGCTGTCCTAGGAGGTGAATGAGACATGTAGCTCATATGCACCAGTGCCGCCCTGAATTAGGTCTCCAAAAGCCAGGAAGTCCAGGCTTCCAGGAAGGAGCTGATTTCCCAGACTACCCCGAAAGAGCATGACTAGAATATTCCGTGTAAAGATTTAGGACCCGAGGCCGCACGCATTGGCTCAGAGCCCACGATTGAGATGGGGTTTCCTCCAGATGGCCGGAGTTCAGAGGCTGTTACTCTGGGCTGTGGGCATCAAGGGACAGTGGGGATGCAAGGTCTGCAGCCCTGGGTTCACTCGGGACATCGAGTCCCAGCTGCCTGAGCCGAGACCAGCCATTGAATCTGCTGGCACCTCAGCGAGTCTATCTTGTCCCCTCTCCCCGTTCCTGTGACAATTCCGTGTAAGGGAAAGCCCTCTGCTGCCTAGAGCCCCAGTTAACCACCGGAGGCAGAGGCGCGAGGTCTCCCACTTGCTCATGAAGGCCACGGCCTCGGACACCCCCGAGTCAGCGACGGGGACAAGGGGGAGGAAGCACATGGCGCGCCAAGGGCACTGCACCTGCGCGCGGTCCCGCCCATCCCGCCGTCCCGCAAGCCGGACTCGGGGCTTCTACACCTTTATTGGCCTGGGCCGCCCGGGTTCAGGGGTCCTCGTAGCCCGTGGGCAGGGCGTTGAAGTGCGGGTTGTGGAAAAGCGTGTGGTTGCCGTCCCCCCAGGAGTAGGGCTGCGGAGAGAGGGAGGGGAGCACAGGTCAGCAACGCCCGCCTGGGGTCCCGCACCCCGTCCTGCCCCACGTCCCGCCCCACGGCAGGGCCTCGGCCGCCTACCTTGGTGCGGATGCGCAGGTGGTGGTAGGGGATGAACTCGGGGCGCTCGCGGTGACCTGCGTGGAGCCAGCAGTTGAGGGTGCACAGGGCCACGCTGGGCAGCGCCAGCACGAAGGTCAGGAGGCGCCAGGTGTTGGCTGCGGGCGGCCAGGGGAAGGCATGTGAGTCTGGGCTGAGGAGGCCTGGTGGCTGGGGGAGGGCGGTCTCCGGGACCCCTGGTGGACCAGGTGGGCAGGGGTAGGCCGCACCCTACTCACCTCCGGCGCCTCCGTGGTCGCCCTTGGCTGCGGTGGCCAAGCCCCGGCTCAAGGCCCTCAGCGGCAGGGCCATGGCGTTGAGGACTTTGGGCAGGACTCTGTGCTGCAGGCTCCTTCCCCCAGGCCGCTCTCTCCTCCCCTCTCTCTGGCCAATCACCTGTCCAGCCTGGGACGTGCGGGCCTATTTTTAGGGCGATTCTATCTTTAAAATGGGCCCTGACTGGCAGGAGGGCTCTGCGGACAGCTGCCCTCAGCTGCCTTTTATCTTAGCAAGCAGGCAGGCATCTGGAGTCTGAAATGCCAGTGTTACTGTAGCCTGTACCTAGGCTAATTGGCTGACACAGGGTATGCTTTTAATAAATATTTGTGGCATTCGTTGTGTCTTCTGCTTGTTCATTTTTTTTTTTAAAAAGATTTATTCATTCATTTGAAAGGGAAAGTTACAGAAAGGGAGAGGCAGAGGCAGAGACAAAGACAGATTTCTTCCATCTGCTGATTCACTCCCCAGATGTTTGCCACGGGCAGGGCTGGGTATACCAAAGCCAGGAGCCAGGAGCTTCATCCAGGTCTCCCACAGGGGTGCAGGGCCCAAGCACTTGGGCCATCTTCTGCTACTTTCTCAGGTACATTAGCAGAGAGCTGGATTTATTCAATTTTACTTAGAAAGGCAGAGGGAGACAGAGGAGAAGGGTGGGGGGGGGAGAGAGGGAGAGAGATCTGCATACCCTGGTTCATTTCCCAAATTCCTAAAACAGAGAGGGCATTGGACGGAAGCCATGAGCTCAGAACTCAACCCCTGTCTCCACTACATGGGCTGCCTTCTGCTGCCCCAGGATGCACCTGCAGGAAGCTGGTTTTGGAGGTGGAGCTGGGATCAGACCCAGGCCCTGCTCTGCAGGATGCAGGCATCCCAAGCTGCGTCTGCCCTGCTGACCCCACACCTGCCCTTCATGCCCTTTGACCTGGAAGTGCACCGGTCAAGTCACAGTTCTTTGCAAGGAGCAGGGCTCACTCTCAGCATGGTATAAGGTCAGTATGTGAGAACCACGGGTAGCCCACAGTGTCTCTGCTATGGCCACTGCAAACCGCACATCCAGAAGCCTCCGTGTGGGCCAGCTGCCCCAAGAGCCCACCAGGGCCCCCACTGCTGCACCCCGGCTGCCAGAACCTTCGTCAGCGCTGCCTGGAGAGCCACACGCTCACACCACACTCCCTTTTGCACCCAAAGGAGCGCTGCACCAAGCCTGTGCCCTCGGGTCTCTCTCCGCTGAGTCAGCAGGCCACACAGGTGCACCCATCAGCTGTGCCTGCGTCACTGCTGTGCCCTTGCTCTGTGAAAGGCTGGGAAGGTGAGTTCTGCCTTCAGCTGCGTGGAGTGGGAGCTGCATTGCAGAGAAAATCCCCAAACACAGGAAGAACATTGAAAAGATCCGGGGTAGCCACGAACCTGACCGTGCCTACTGCAAATGAAGTTCTTGCAGTCTGAAACTCGGACTGCCTGGAGGAGAGAGAAAGCCTGGGCAGGACCACAGCAACCCTAGACCCCAGCAGCTCTCGGGAAAGCCACAGGGTTGGGCGCGCTCACCGTTTCATCCTCAGCACCCGGCACAGAGTGGCTGTCCTGAAACCCGTATTTGATAAATGGGTGAGCATTGCTGCATTGTGCCCCTGCAGAAATGGCGTCTCAGAGCAGCCGTCCAGCAGGATGCCTCAGCTGTGAGCAAAGGCCGAGGAACCCAACGGAGGAACAGTGAGGAAGGTGCATTTCCTGAAGGGGCTGTGCACCTGCTCCTCCTCGGATTCTCAGCTGAACAGTAGCTCCCAAGAGGCTGCTGCTGTTTTATTTTAGGGACCTTGTCGAGCTGTCAAATGTTGCTAAAGTACCCCTGAGCCCTGAGATGAAACTGAGCTTTGCCTACTGTTGCTTTTCCCACCTTGGCCTCTGGCATGGCTGCAGACATGGGGCCTTAGTCCGGGTAAAGTGACCTGGCGTCTCCCTCCACACAGGCCCCTCGGATCCCCGCCTGCTCAAGTAAGAAAATGGCTCTGGAGATATGAAACCAGGAGGGGAATTTTAGCT